TCCACTCCTGTCCTGGAGTGATCTTCCTTCAGAACCATGAAGACTCTGGTGCCATCAGTAGACGTCACGTTGACATAGTCCTCCAGGATGGGCGGGCGCTTGAGTACCCGTTTGGGGTCCTTTTCAGGGGGTGGCGTCATGCGCAGGGGAGCCATGTCGCTTACGTCCAGGCTATCTGGGCTCAGGATCTTTGTGCTCCTTTAAAGATAGATCGGAGACACAAGTGCCCATGAAATTAGACGTCCAGCAGGATAGCCTCAGCAAAACTTACTTCCAAATGGAAACCTTCCAATCTCAAATGCCCAAAAGGAGGCTTCATGGCCTAAGTCACCGGGAAATGGCAACAAAGCCAAGCAGGAAAACGCTGGGCGAGTTCCCCAACAAAGCTCTGTCATCCACCCAAAGCTTGCCATGCCGCATTCCCCGCTCTTCTCCCACTGGCGGTTCCTCACGCAGCCCCGCCAACGTACCAACATGCCGGCCTGCGGCACTTTGAATGCGGACACCACAGGCCCCTCCGCATACCACTCCATCTTGACCCTCTTCATGTCCTAGAAATTCCAGTCCTCTCTTCCCTCCTTATCCAGGCCCCCAAACCTGACCCAGTGCACCCGACATGCCCAAGTGACACTCAAATATCATTGCAGTGAGCATGGTACCAAAATTGAGAGAGAGACTTCTGCTAGTCCAGCCCTGGGCCCCTGAGGGGAAGAAGCTGTCTGTGCTCTTAGTTCTGTGAAGAGGGCAGGGAGAGGAGAGGAAGAAAGAAAGGACTAGGGTAAAACCACCCAAATACTTTTCCCTTGCACCCAAAATGGAGATTTGACCCCCAGCTGCCTAAGACTTCTAATTTACCACAACAGTGTAGGTCCAAGACCGATTACTGACTGTCCAGGGCCTTCCTCGCAACAGGGACAAAACAATGAGAAAAGGGACTCCGGCCCTGTTCACCTGGCACTCGGCGGTTTGGAGCAGTCTCCGGGGGAAGGAGGTGGGGTAATATCATCCTGAGGGGAATCAGGAACGGCCAATTGCTCCTCTGCCCCGAAGTTCAGCTTCTTAACAGCTTCAAGTCTTCGTCGCTTTGGCTTAGGAGCTGTTTAACACAAAAGAGAATGGGGCGGTAATGCTGATTACAAAAGGCAATGTATTTACGGAAAGGTCTTTACAACGCCTCTCACCTGAGGAGCTCAATGCACTTAAGCATAACAGCTGCCATACTGGGTCAGACCAAAGGTCCACCTAGGCCAGCATCCTGTCTTCCAACATTGGTGAATGCCAGATGCCCCAGAGGGAATGAACAGGACAGGTAATCAGCGAGTGATCTAACCCGTCACCCATTCCCAGCCTCTGACAGAGGCTAAGGACACCATTTCTACCCCTCCTGGCTAATAGCCATTGATGGACCTAACCTCTATGAATCTATCTAGCTCTTTTTTGAACCCTGTTAATGTCCTGGTCTTCACAACATCCTTCAGCAAGAAGTTCCACAGGTTGACTGTGCACTGTATGAAGAAATATTTCTGTTTGTTTTACACCTGCTACCTATTCATTTCATTTGGTGACTCCTAGTTCTTATGTTATGGGAACAAGTAAATAACCTTTCCTTCTTCACTTTCTCCATACCTATCATGGTTTTATAGACCTCTATCATATACCCCTTTGTCTCCTCATTTCTAAACTGAAACATCCAAGTCTTTTTAATCCCTCTTCATACGGCAGCCATTCCAAACCCCCAATCATTTTTGTTGCCCTTTTCTGAACTTTTTCCAATGCCAAGATCTCTTTTTTGAAACGAGGCGAGCACATCGGCACGGAGTATTCAAGATGTGGGCGTCCCATGGACTGATATAGAGGCAATAAGATATTCTCTGTCCTTTTTTTTTTTTTTTTAAATGATTCCCATGCATCCCCGTTTAACAGATGGCCACAGTGCAGCCAACTGACTCGCCCAGTGAGTCAACAACAGAGACAGGAATGGAAGCCGTCAGCCCAAGTTACCAAGCCCATCCTGCTAAGACATAGAAACGTTTCTTGAATTGGCGATTCCGGGCAGTCAATTTTTCCGGTGAAAGGCCATGCCTCTGGGGACTGCTCCGTGCCCATCTTTGCAGCGCCCTGAGAACAAACCTTCAGTTGCTTCAGAGATGAACACGGGCTTGGGAGATGGGTGGCAGGTGTCCACATTAAATCTCCCAGCTCCGAAGCAAAAGGCAGACATTTGAAGAAGCCATCTCAGCCGGGGATGTGGTTAAGGAGTCTGCTGCTTCCCATGGCAAGCCATGCCAGGGAAAGGACTCTAAAAACCCAGGGGACGCCGTGGAGAGCCTTCTGGAACCTAACTCTAAGAAGCGGCACCTCCTGCATGAATCGGAGGAGGAGTGTTTGGAGAACTGGCCTCCTCACGAGCCTCCTGCTGCACTCAGTATGTCTTGGAAATGTTCTTTGGGTAGCTGTACAGACATGTAGGCGAGGCCTTTGGTGCTGTGCCTTAAATGCCTTTTGTAGCCGCTGTTCCCCTTTCCAGCTCCAGCTGTTGGCATAAGGCTAGTTTGGCCCTGTTTGCTCTCATCTAGGCTGTGTCTAGACTACATGGCTCCATCGATGGAGCCATGTAGTCTAGACACAGCCTAGATGAGAGCAAACAGGGCCAAACTAGCCTTATGCCAACAGCTGGAGCTGGAAAGGGGAACAGCGGCTACAAAAGGCATTTAAGGCACAGCACCAAAGGCCTCGCCTACATGTCTGTACAGCTACCCAAAGAACATTTCCAAGACATACTGAGTGCAGCAGGAGGCTCGTGAGGAGGCCAGTTCTCCAAACACTCCTCCTCCGATTCATGCAGGAGGTGCCGCTTCTTAGAGTTAGGTTCCAGAAGGCTCTCCACGGCGTCCCCTGGGTTTTTAGAGTCCTTTCCCTGGCATGGCTTGCCATGGGAAGCAGCAGACTCCTTAACCACATCCCCGGCTGAGATGGCTTCTTCAAATGTCTGCCTTTTGCTTCGGAGCTGGGAGATTTTCGGGACCGATGGCTGAGACGAGCTACCTGGAAAAGAAACTACAGTGATGTATGTGACCCCTCTGTATGGGGGAAGCAGCCATGAGTAAGCCTGATTTTAGGAGGCGCCACACAGACTGCCAGCGGGCACGCACAGCACTAAACCAGTCCTTTCGCCCTGCTGTGCTTAACAGGTTTCTTTTGAAATCCCATCTACATTTGCTAGTCAAACCTCATCCCAGGTCAGTCGTGCTCCAAACAAGTTTAAAACACAGATGCTTGCCCCAAAGAGATGGAACCTAAGTGTGGGTGGGTCCTATTAAGACACATACAGTGCATATATTTAGGGCATCAAACCCTGCCAGAGAAAATTCATTGTTAGTCAGGGAGCACAGACAAGGTTCAAGAAGACCAACCTGATGTACAATGGCATTAAGTACCCACTGCAACATGGCAACCCCCTTTCTGGGGCAAGTCTCAGAAGGGTAGTCCTGTTCGTCTGGAGGACTAACATTTTTATTAGGGCATAAGCTTTCCTGGGTAAAGGCCCCTTCTTTTGAAATCCCATTGGCTAGTCACACCACATCCCAGGTCAGTCCAGCGCCAAGCAAGATTAAGCACAGTTGTTTGCTCCAGGGAGATGGGCCCTAAGTATGGGTAGATCCTATTAAGAGAGGTACAGCGCACATTTTTAGCATGCTCTGTGATGGGGGCATAAGCTTTTGTGGGTAATCTGCTGGTCTTTAAGGTGCCACAAGACTCCTCATTATTCCTGGGGCAAGCAGCTGATGGATCCAGGCTGAATCTGCCGAGACGCCAGGCTGAAGTCTGTAACAGACCTGGGGGGGCAGCTGCTCTCCCTCCCCCCGCAAGCAGAACTGCAACCGCCCCTGCCTCCAGCCTGCACAGCTCCCCGTGCAGAGGAAACAAGGCAGCCCCGCGCCACCCACCTTCCCCTCCCAGCTCCGCCAGGACCTCCAGCTCGTCCGCAAACTGCTGCTCGAAGTCATCTTCAATGCCGTACAGCTCCGGCTCCTCCATGGGCCCAGCGCCGCCTTGCACCGCCCGGCCGGCTCCCTCCGCCCCAGCCGCCCTGCAGCTGCAAACCCGGCGCGCGCGCGCCTCCTCCTCCTCCTCGCCTGCCCTTCCCGG